TGGTTTCTCAGATGCTGACTGGGCTGGAGACCAGGACGATCGTCGCTCTACAACTGGTAATGTGTTTTTACTGGGTGGAGGAGCTGTGAGTTGGCTCAGTAAGAAACAGTCAACTGTTGCTCTTTCGACAGCGGAGGCTGAGTATGTTGCACTTAGCCAAGCAGCTCAGGAATGTGTCTGGCTTAGACGTCTTCTGAATGATCTTGGGATGGATGCTACTCCTGTGGTGATTTTGGAGGATAATCAAGGAGCCATTGCAATTGCAAAGAATCCAGTTGATCATTCAAGAACCAAGCACATTGACATTCGTTACCATTACATTCGTGAATGTGTGCAGAATGGACAAATACAACTGAAATATTGTCCCACAGATGACATGAAGGCAGATATCTTTACCAAGCCATTGGTGAGACAGAAGTTTGACTATTTCAGGAGTGAGATTGGACTTTGTTTCATTTAATTCTGTTTTAGTCTTATCTTGAATGGACTATACTGTTAACTATGTTACAGTGTCAGACTATTAACATGGAAAAAGGAACTACAAATGTTGTTTTTTTTGTTAATATAATTTACTAAGAAAGGCTTAGACCAATTGTAAATTAAGTGGGAGTGTTGTAATATAGTAATTTGCCAAGAGGTGTCACTGTTGTATTAAGTGAGTCACCACAGTTCTGTTTTTCTTCTTCGCTGTTTTTCTCTCTGTCGTTGTCAGTAATAAAAAAGCACGTGAAACTTCAACAATAATTCCAAAAAGAATAATCTGTGATTCTGAATGCCAGTATCCACACCGCTGTGGTGACTGACAGCCTCACAGTCTCCTCAAACAATGTGTCCATCCCCGCTTTGCCGTGTCGAGGGTGTTGAAGTACAACTCACGTAAAGTTGATAATTCCGCGAATGACTGCAATTGCAGATTTCGAACAGAGATGGCGACAAAGAGGAAAAACGCCGGACTGCAGCTTTAAGCTGGTCTTTAGGCGAATGCATGAACGACCCCACAACACTTAAAAAAGTGAAAGTTGATTATACACAGCAGGAGGGGTCAGGTCTTCAAGTAGAGGAATTAATTATGAATCTAATTTTCTTATTTTGGGGTCGCGGCTGGCTTGGCTGAGCGTCCAGCAAAGCGTCAGTAACTTAAGCAACCCAGTCGTGATCACGGCCATTTGACTGCTTTAATTGGGATAACCGGCCCCAAAACATCAATCATACAAAAGAACATAATCATATCAACAGATGCATATTAAATGAGCTAGAGAGGGAGGAACACAAAGCACAAAAACTGCCAAAAAGAAATGTTTCTGAAACTTGCCAAGGCAGACTGCCAGCCAGCTGAAGATTGAACCCCTACTGGAGTTGCCTGACGCTGCACAAACCCAGAAAAAGTATTGCAGTGAGCGCGCTAAATACAAAAACATCTCCCAGCATTGTTTCTTTTTGGATATAAACACAAGAAATTAACCATATTCATGCAAGAAGATTTGCTGTACGCATAATAACTGGCAAGGGATATCGGACACGACCACCACAACCTCGAACTTCATTCACCACTCCTTAAAGTAAGCAATGGCTTGTTTAACCTGTTTGTTATAGTTAATTTGACTAGCGTTAAATCTAGAGAGAATAGTGGTCAAAACAGCATGCCTCTTTATACAAAATTATGTTTTCAAATATACCTTAAGGCTGTCAATAGATTCAAATGATAATTAATGATGGCATATGTTTTGTATAAATTCACACAGACGTTTGCCACAGTTTCGTTCAAATCATACTTTAAAGCCAAATATGTCACTCTTTTATGACGAAAAACAACATAGAGAACTGTTTTGTCATGTTTTATGTTTCTCTTGAAGCAGGGTCAGATGTTATGGGGGGCAAAATGCCAGTAGAATTAATATGCACTCAAAATTCAAGGTGTGGTAAAAAAAATGGCCCTAGAATGAGTTATTTTTATATTTATAACATATGATATTAAAAAATATTTCCAGAATATCGGCGCGATTGCTAATTTGATAGTGATTTTATACAACAGTTCAGTAAACAAAGAGTAATTATTGTGAAGTGACATTTTAGACGTAATATTGTAAATATTCTCTGTTTTTGCTCTATTTCTCCAATGACAATAGTTCCAAACAAGCCACAGAAAAAGAGTTATGCTTATCTGAAGTAACATATCCGGGGTTTTTGTGATTCAGTGACATAGTTGCTTAGTTCCAGAATGAATTTGCCGTTTTGAATGAATCGGTTAAATGAATCCTTCTATGACTCGTACATTAAGACAGTGATTTGGCGCCACCTATTGGTGGTTTTAATTTCATAATAAAAAAATATAATTTATCATTTTTTACCATCTAATTTTTTCTATATTAAAATTATTGGTCCCACTTTATATTAAGTGGCTCTAATACCTGTGAACTTACATCGTAACTGCATGTGTACATAGTATAAATATGTCTACGGCCCTGTATTAGGCATAAGATCAATAATGAATGTGTAGCCTACATATTGTGAATGCATTTAATAAACTTAATTACCTTTAGTAGCTTTCAGTAAAAAAACGCGTCTGAGAAAATGATTCAGGCAAAATCAACCTATCAGTAGACCCTATATGTTTACTTTCTTCACTGACAGACAAAAATGAAAAGCCTATATCAGTCAAAGTTCAGCTTTAGGAGGGGAAGAGACATGGCAAGATAAAAACAAAGAGAAAAAGAGTGTGATGCTGATGAGGAGAGAAAAATAATCAGCTGCCCACTATCCAAGTTTTTTGGCCTTCAGAACATCTTAAAATGCACATTTGTAGATCAGAGAAATAAAACAATTCTATAATAGAACCCCCCTATTTGCAAATAGAAAAACAAATAAAACCCCCCTACTTGCCCTACCTCACATTTGGGCCCACAGTTATTATAAAACCGTGCCTTTGCATGGTAATGAAAATGGTTAATAGTGAGCTTTAGATCCTAAAGTAAAGTGTTACCTTTTTTTTATCATTTTTTTAAAAATCATATTGGGGGCTTAGCCCCCCTAAAATGAAAATGCTAGTGACGCCCCTGGTTGTAGGTCTATCCAATTGGGTGTAGAGTTTTCCTTGTTCGGTTACACGCCTCATAATCAAAGCCCTATGGAGCAGTATCAGACTCACATTCTGACTAGAATATGAGTATGACGAAGTCAGGCTAACAACTCGTCAAAACTCCGCCAATCTAATCACAACAAGCGTATTGGTGAGAGCACTCATTTAAACAGAATACACACATCCAAACTTGACTGCACATCATATTTTTGACATTATTGGTAGCCTACTGCTTTCAATCGTAATGCAATAGAAATGAACACAAAAACCTGCTTAGTGCCTTCCTACAACACTGACGGTGGACACAGGAGTAGAGCGGACGAATGTTTTTTTTTTTTTTTGAGCGGCTGCTGACGAATTTTTTCTACCCTCAACTCATGAACCCATTAACACCTGAACGCCCCCCTTTAAAAAATCTTGCTTCCAACGCCCCCCGTTGTTCTCTGAACGCCCCCGTTGAGAACCACTTATAATTTGCTTGTTGAAGTTTTGGAGTGACTATAAGAGCATTTTTGTTTTGTTTAATAAATACTTATCATTTTCAAAACTCAATCTCGCCTATAGGGCAACCAAAGGGCTAAAGCCGGCGTGACGCGTAAAAAGACAGTTTAGTCATCATTATAATCAGTAAATATGTCCCCAATGAAATAAAACCTTGCCAATCTGATACGATCTGGTCCAGTTGCTTGCAAAGTTGATCGATCAGCTTGGTCATCTGCATTTTCCGGATCAGATTCGGGCTCGAATTGACACTATCACCTGTCATCATTGGTTTGAAAGCTGATGTTCCAGATATGGTAAGGGGCGTGACATTTCCGTCACTCGCTTAAAGGGATAGTTCACCCAAAAATGAAAATCAAGTCAGTAATTACTCTCCCTCATGTTGTTCCAACCCCGTAAGACCTTCGTTCATCTTCAGGACACAAATGAAGATATTTTTTATTAAATTTGAGAGCTGGATCACTCCCCCATAGGCTTCCTAAGGGAGTGAAACTTGACGGCCCAGAAAGTCATTGAAGAAAATGTTTAAATAGTCCAAGTGACTACAGTGGCTCAACTATAAGTTTATCAAGCGACGAGAATACTTTTTGTGCGGAAAAACAAACAAAAATAACGACTTTATTCGACTATTCCTTTTCTTCCTTGTGGGCCTGAGACGAGAGTTCAAGAGATTTCCACGACGCATGCGCGAGAACTGAGAAGAGGACGTTCTTCTTCTACTACTTCTTGTTCAGTTCTCGCCCATGCGTCATGGAAATCTCTTGAACTCTCGTCTCAGGCCCACAAGGAAGAAAAGGAATAGTCGAATAAAGTCGTTATTTTTGTTTGTTTTTCCGCACAAAAAGTAGTCTCGTCGCTTGATAAACTTATAGTTGAGCCACTGTAGTCACTTGGACTATTTAAACATTTTCTTCAATGACTTTCTGGGCCGTCAAGTTTCACTCCCTTAGGAAGCCTATGGGGGAGTGATCCAGCTCTCAAATTTAATAAAAAATATCTTCATTTGTGTCCTGAAGATGAACGAAGGTCTTACGGGGTTGGAACAACATGAGGGAGAGTAATTACTGACTTGATTTTCATTTTTGGGTGAACTATCCCTTTAAGGTTTTTGGGCCAATCACAATGCACTGGATCGCTGGCCAATTAGAGCACACCGCGCTTTTCAGAACAATGAGCTTTGTAGAAATCGACGCGTTTTATAAAGGCGGGGCATAGAGGAACAATAATAATGTACAGTATGTGTAAAATAATTACTTTTTTTAACCTAAAACCTAATATGACATAATATGACCCCTTTAATTCATCCTCATTTCACCATCCCAATATCTCCTCTTTCATACAGACACAGATGTTAGATAGATGTTTACCTGAACTCTTGTGTTTGTCAGCTCAGTGAATGAGTCTTTCCTCTTTATTTTCTCAGAACCTGCAACTGATCCATGCTATGATTATAACACACTTGATCAATATTGGAGAGATATACGGCAAAGCCCATATCAGTACTATGGACATGATGACACTCTTGTTGAATGGAGTGGCTGGTATCGGCTGTATCTGAATGGAGAAAGTGCCCAGATGTCTGAGTGGTGTGTGAGTTATGCTGGATGTGGTGGTCACACTGGACTGTCTCTCAGCGGTTCTCATCCAAAACTTGAGGATGGAGTGGTAACCCGTGAAGTCGTGGGAACTCATTCATGGTATTGGTGGGGGTATTCCAGTCAGTGTGGCGCCTACAGTTCCTCATCCATCCGAGTCAAAGCCTGTCCAGGAGATTATTACGTCTATGAATTTGTCAAACCCATCATATCAGCTCCAGGGCCGATGTACTGTGCAGGTACAATATTCAATCTTATCTTTAGGATTTTTTATGTCAGTATAATTAATATAAAGTGTAAATGCTGTAACTTTTAGACAATTTAACATACATATTTTGTTTTATGAAATAAGTATGTTTTAACTAGTTAGAATCAGTGGTGTGCAGTTCATTATCCATTCTGTATAGTAGGTTATGTTACAGATCAATAGCATCTAGATCTCGTTGTTACGCAATTCCTCAAATCACACTTTAGGCGATTTGTTCAATAATTAATATGTAAACTAAAAATGTATATGAAAACATTGTGATATTACTCCACAGTCCTCTTGTGCCTATCTGAAGTTACGTTTTTTCTCAGATTAAAACTTATTAGCACAGTTTTTGTCATATCCAGCCCCTCCTCAGGTGTTGCTCTGCCCCGTTCTACAGGGTTCTGTCAGACAGACTTGCCCCACTTTAGCCTGACAGACAGTACACCACTGGTTAGAATATAATTGCTCGAAGTTATGTAATTAACCATCATAACTGGTCTTATGGTATAAAACTCTTATGCTCTTTAGGATGTAATATATTTTAACAGTACTTTTGCAAACTCCATGACAGTTGCTTTCCAAAGCATCAGCAGTGATCCCTGCTACAACTATGAGTCTCTGGATCGTCCCTGGAGAGCCAACAATGAAAGTGGAGATTACATTTGTGATAACTTTTTCACCTGGAATGGCTGGTACCGGCTTTTCTACTATGGAATGGACATCCGGATGTCAGAGACCTGTGTCAGTTCATTCACCTGTAACACATACTATAATCTGTGGCTCAATGATCCTCACCCTCAGATAGAGGATGGAGTGGTGACCAGGGACGTGTGTGGTGGGACTTATTGGGGAAGCTGCTGTGATTACAAGTTTAAACCCATCCGAGTGAAAGCGTGTCCAGGCAATTACTATGTCTATGAACTTGTGAATCAAGCATGGTGGTGTTCAGGATACTGTACAGGTACTGTGATTTTCTCATTTATTTAAGTATTTTAAAACGTTTAAAATTATTTCTCTCATGACATTAAGTTTCTTCTTTTTAGATGTCAGCACTATTTCACAGGCAGTTTCCACTATAAGTCCAGATATATTCACTGGATCCACCATCAACTTGAGTAAGTTGTAAATAATATATATGAATATTTGAGTGTTATTAAAAATCACATATTTCTTTTCAATTAAAGATTTGCATTACAGTTTAAATGGATTTTTTGGTGCATAAACATTTTCACTATTACACAGTTGCATTGTGTATGAATGGTTTATGAATCTCATTATTACAGTGTTTGACTGGTTCAGATTTGCGCTTGTGAAGTTCCTCATTGAGATATAACTTGTTTGTTTTGGTCTCATTATCTCTCACTAACAGATTATGACCCGTGTAATAACTACAACACACTCGACAACTACTGGAGAAGCACACTCAATTACTGGTCTAGTAATGGATACATATCTGATCATGATGACACTCGTGTAGAATGGGATGGCTGGTATCGACTCTTCATTAATGGATCAAGTGCTCAGATGCCTGAGTGGTGTTTTAATTATATGTCATGTGGAGGTTATAGTGCTCTGTATCTTGGTGACTCTCATCCTCGGCTAGAAGATGGAGTTGTTACTCGTGAAGTTTACGGCTCTCGTAATGATCAGTGCAGTCGCTACAGATCCGACTCAATCCAAGTCCAAGCTTGTCCTGGAAATTATTATGTCTACAAATTTACCAGACCAACTCTTTCAATCCCAGATCCTGTATATTGTGCAGGTATATTAATTTATCTTTATGTCTGACATGATTGTCATGAATTGTATTGATTTATGTTCATTTTATTAATGTGAATATATTTAATCTGCAATATATAATGCTCTCTTTCTATTTTTCCTTAATAGTGCCTTTCTCCACCCCAAGTGTCGACCCCTGCTACAACTATACCAGTCTGGATGAGCCTTGGAGATCCACAGACAACTATTACTATAACTATTATGGCATGTGTGATTATAATGTGGAGTGGAATGGCTGGTACAGGATGTTCTACAATGGTGAAAATACTCAAATGCCAGAATCATGTGTAAATCAGTACACATGTGGCACTTATAATCCACTGGTGCTCAACGGCGCTCACCCACAGCTGGAAGATGGAGTGGTCACCCGTCAGGTCTGTGTCTCCTCATGGAATGGCTGCTGTACTTACAAATCCCATCCTATAAGAGTCAAAGCCTGTCCAGGAAATTACTATGTTTATGAGTTTGTCAAGCCAATATTTTGTGGAGCTTACTGTGTTGGTGAGCACTTACTCATTATCTTCAACCATTAACTTTTCTGGATTTTGTTTGAATTTAAATGAAATGATTGTTGTTAATATAAAATGTTCCTAATACCAGATGCCTCAAACCAGTCCATCTCATCAACAACAGAGACGATCCCATCCATAGAATCCATTACTCCACCAATCACAACCACTGGTAAAGTATTGTCTTGCTTCCTTCATAAACTCTCTTGAGAATATTTTTGGACATGTATTTTTATTAAACATGATCTCTTGAAATGTTCCTGTTAATCACATTAAGTAAATTCATAGCTAAATTAATTTCTGCAGAACATATTTACAAAAATCACATTACTAAAAAGCAATACAGCTCACAAATGATTATGCAATCCAAACTCTCTATATTTGAATGTAAGCAGAATGCATTTTTAGACAAAGTGAAGAACTGAAACTTTGTTAACAGTGAAATCTAAACCACCAGTGTTTCTCAAACTCAGTTCATAACCCCTGTTCGCATACACCTACCATTAGAAAGAGGGATTACTGCATATACAGACAGATATTTATATATTATTATATCTGGATTATATCTATCTAAAATAACCGAAAAACATAGTAAATGATATTGATGCAAAGAACAACAATATACTATAAAACTGTATCAATGTATAAAAGGCTATCAAATATATATTTGATAGCTTTTTACATTTATGCATTTGGCAGATGCTTTTATCGTAGATTGTAACTAGATCAAATTACACTGATTCTTATATATATATATATATATATATATATATATATATATAATAAGAATCAGAGTGTAATTTGATATCCTTTTATTCATTCATACAGTTTCATAGTATATTGTTGTTCTTTGCCTTAATGTCACTTACTATGGTATTTGGTGAGATTTTTGGACCACCTGAAAAAAAACTTTTTTAATGGGGACAGTGTCAGTTCTAAAATTAAGACGTTTTAAAATTGAAAGAACAAACAAATTCTCATTTTCAATCGACAGTCTGTGCAGACAACCAGCACCACGTAAGAATAATGTTTTTGCATATAAGTGGCAAAGGGTGTTTTGAAAGCACTGACTTATTGAAGTCAATTTGCTTGTAAAATACTTCTGCTCAATTAGCCTGGCTAACGTCAGACCACGTCTCATTTACATTGAGACGTGGTCTGGGAACCACATGTTAATTTTCTCGTATTTGAGCCATGGTTTACGAATGGCCAGAGCCGTTTATTGGGTGCTACGAATGTCTATCAGATGCGCCTGTACGTAGCTCATAGCCAATCGTTTCATTTATACCAATGACGTATGTAGAGCGAAAAAAAATAGACGAGGAAGAAGACGATGTGTCAGAGATTTATGTGTACACGATGGCGTATGTATCTAAGGCTGCATCGAAAGGTAACTTCGCGTCTGCTGCCATGTTTGATCCATAGGTATAAACAAACTGCTTCGGTGTGTGGCATAGACGTCGTCATCGTAATGCTGCTCCCTCCCCGTTCTGTGATTGGTCCCCTCGCTGAGGCGAAAATTTGGTCCATGGTATCCAAACTTCCTAGCAGTGTGAATAAAATCGCGCTGCGCAAAGGCAGTATGGGGAAACCCAGGCTAGTGCTCAATTGCAAAGGGACTCAGATTTGGCTGTTTTTATCTTGTTTTGTCAGCTAGATGAGAGATGTTCTGAAAGCTTACGACAAATTGTCTTCAGCTTCAACTTAAAATGCAAATGAAACAGTGAGCTTGAGTAAACAGTGTAAACTGTTTCATAACATAACCACTACAAAAAATGCACATCAAAAAACATTTATTTATTCATTCCTCAAAATATATATTTTTAATTTTTCCATGACAACAGCTCCCCCTGTTGACCCCTGCTACAACTACAATATCCTGAATGATTCATGGAGAGCCACCAACAATCAACATTCCTCTGAAATAATGTGTGACACTGCGGTCAGCTGGAACGGCTGGTACCGTCTCTTCATTCAGGGTCAGAGCGTTCAGATGCCAGACACATGTGTTGATGAGTATAGTTGTGGCACTCATGCTCCTCTGTGGCTGAACGGAGGACATCCAACAGTTGAGGATGGAGTGGTCACTCGAGATGTCTGCGGTCACTGGAGCAATAACTGCTGCTATTTCCAATCCAATCCCATTAAAGTCAAAGCCTGTCCAGGAGATTATTATGTCTATGAATTTGTGAGCCCAACTAACTGCCATTTGGCTTACTGTGCAGGTAAATATATTTACATGTGCCCTTTGTTTATGTAAAACATACTTGTTATTTATGTAATATTCATAATTTATTTCAGATTCAAGCAACATAACCACTACCACTACCACTGTCGAGACAACCACAACCAAAACTACAACAACAGAAACTACAACCATGGACACTACGACTGGTAATATACTGTGTTGTGTTCAGGGCCGATCTACCCTACTCTACGTAAGTTGCGTAGGGCGCCGCAAATTACTCAAGGCCCCGACTCCCCCTCGTGTCAATGCGCGTCAATCAATGTTTACAATATCGATGAGAAAAGGAAGCGGAACTGTTCTTCTGGTCACGAAAAAAGAGAGAAAAAAAAACACCATTCAGTTAATTGCGGCAACAGTTATCCGGTAGACTTGTGTGCTCTCCTCTCTAAGTTTGATGTCAGCAAAGAACAGTAGGCTAAAGATAAGTTGATGTGATTTGATTTATTATGTTTAATAAACGACAAAGGACAACGGTGTCTGTTTATAAACTCCTAGGAAAAGATAACCGCGTCGCGCGTTAACATTCATATACGCATGCACGAAATGAAACACACTTTCCAGCAGGAAGAACTGTTTTGAGTCGAGACCAGTACAATATGGGCGTGATGGCACTCCTCATTATTGTTTTAAAACAAGACGATGATTATCTAATCTCTCAGTCAAGGTTTAGTGACAACTCTGCACTAATGCAAGATGGAAAGCAACGTATTGACTATTGATTTATAGGGCATTATCTTGCACCCAGCGCAACTGACTTTGTACACCGACGCATGTATCATTCGTATTTTGCACCCGCGCAAAGCAGGCTTTTCCCTCCACAGACGCACGCCGGCAAACGCACCCCTGGGCGGTTCAGCGCAAAAAGGAGGAGTGTTTCGGCGCAAACATTCCCTGGTGCTATTTTGCAGTTCCAGAAAACAATTGCGCCACTGACCAGAAAAAACCTAGTCTAAAGTCAGTGGCGCGTTGCGCGTACATTCAGATGCTATTTTAAGCGCGCATGCTTGGCCATAATACAGAGTGTGAACAACGCGCATACACTGTAGATGATTCTCTCATCTACACAGATGCATTTTACTTTTTACAAATGATACATTATTATAAGGACAAATATTAAAACACGAGGGAAATCATTGTTGTGTCCATGACGATGGGAAAAATAGGCATAAAGCTTACACATTTACCCAAATTATTATATGCATGTTTAACCGAAGCTAATTTGGGTGGGTTTGTCCCATCCCCAATGTCACTTGTCTTTCTTTTACGGCCCTGTAGAGAACATCGACCTCCTCGACTGTGAACCGATTCGTAAATGCGCCGTTATAATAGTATTGCGCCATGGAACAAGCGCACCTCGTTCATCATGCTCTTAAAGGGAATGTGATATGACGCTCTTATTGGTTTGTTTCCCGTTACGGCCAAACCACACCTATGAATAATGAAGCTACTTCAGACCAACCACTTTTAGATTTGCATCGAGCGCAAGAGTAATTTATCCCGCCGGTTAAATAGCAACAGCGCCCAAGACCCGCCCACAAAGTTACTTGCGCTTTGCGCTTGACACCTGCGTTTTCGATCGTTAAAATAGGGCCCATAGGCTTCATTGAACTTAAAATATTGATTGGCTGGAGATTCTGGTCAATATGGATCCATCAAATATCAAGAATTGCTTTTATAATTTAAAACACAGTGACATGGTATGGCGCCATTTTAGCTTTTATTCAATCACAGGATATGCATTTTTGAGATCAAGAATTCAATTTGTACTATTTAAAATGTGAATTGTTGATATTAAGAATGAACTTTTTACTAGTAACAATGTCTTCTGATATTAGGAATTACACTTTCACTAGAACTAGTTAAAGGAGGATAGTGGGAACACTGGGGTGTCAGGTGTTACAGTGTGGCAATGGCAAATTGTTCATGGCTCATGCTTACCCAGGGAGGTCAGGATCGGCTCTAGTTGTGTTACAATATAGAGGATTATTGATTGGCATCAGCAATAAAATGGGTTTTCAAATAAATATTATAGGTTTGCAATGGATGTAAATAATTTAAAATAATTTATAAAGCTATATAGGCTGTTATATTATATTATCAGTCATATTAAAGTGATTCAGCCATAGGCAAGAGGCCAAAGGTAATCATAGCCATGCAGATATATGTCATAATGCTGTATCATATGTTTCATTTCATTGTGTAGAGATTGCAAATATTATGATGGGGACATTAAGGTAAATTAAATTTAAAAATGATGACAATGGCATTACTAATAAATGTTCAATAATGTTTTGTTTTTTCTCTCAGACAATAGCATTAATATTGCGAGCCGATTTTATCCATTTGGAACTGGAGACTCAGTAAATGGACGCATTGATGATGGAAGTTCATCTGTTATTTACCTTCAGCAGCCATTTATATTTTTTGGGCAAACATACAACCAAATTTATGTAAGTCAATCTGATATAAAAGGATTTTGGATTATGAGTGTCTAATACATGTCTATAAACTCTCTTTGAGAAAAGGTAAATGGGAAAATGACCATTCACTGCAATTTTATATACTGTTGCAAATAATTTAGCATATTTTATAAGTATCAAGGTCAAGGTCAAGGTCAAAGTTTATTTATAAAGCACATTTACAAGCAGTCGCTACTGCCCCAAAGTGCTATACAGTTAAAGAAATAACATGAGATAAAAACTATTTCCAAAACAGACAGTAAATAATAAAATGTCACAGCTCAGCTAATATTCGACAGTAAATAATAAAATGTCACAGCTCAGCTAATATTCGTATCCTCCACATGATAATAAGACATCTTCTATTTCAGGTTAACAACAATGGACACTTGACTTTTGACGGGGCATTCTACAGCTACTCTCCATACCAGTTCCCAGCTTATGGAGGGAAAGACCTCATTGCTCCATTCTGGACAGATATTGACAACCGCTGGAATGGTGTTATCTCATATCAACAATACACCTCTGGCAGTGTCCTTACACAGGCGACCCAAGACATAAACCAATACTTCCCTGACTTGAGTTTCTCGGCTTCATGGGTCTTTGTTGCAACATGGGATAGAGTTGCATACTACTACAATTCAGGAACAGTAAGTAGCACAATTTGGTACCATGGAGACCTTCATGTGCCCTTTTAAAAATAAAAATCGGTATACCACATGTTTTCTTGCTTCACTAAAAAATATTATTATTATTATTTGTCTTTTTTAAGGAAACATCTTTCCAAGTGGTTTTAATTTCGAATGGCCATCTCTCATTTGTTGTAATGAACTACGGAGCAATCGCTCCAACGCAACGATATGTACAGGTAGGCACAAGATGACATTGATATGATGTATTGAACAGTTTGACTAAATAATCAGACATCTGAATGTCTTCATTAGGCTGGTTATGACACCATCGACTCAAGTCACCATTTTTCAATTACTGGATCACTCCAGAATGACATCACAAGCCTACCATACAGCAGCAATGTCAATGTGCCAGGCAGATGGGCCTTCAGAACAGATCATGGAACACGTGGTTGTCAATTTAATGGTAAAAGTGCTTTTCTGATTGCTTGAAATATTTGCTATTTTCTGGAAGACTATGAATGACTTTTTCAAATGTAATGATACCATGCTAGTGAGCCATAGGTGAAGCCTTCCAGTAATTACACACTTTTGGTCTTTCTATCCATAAACTCTTTGTTATAGGTTTTCCAGTGCAGCTGGGAGACTCCTTCTGGAGTGATGCCACCTGTCAGCAGAGATGCTCCTGCACCAGAAATGGCATCCAGTGCAGCTTTGAGCCCTGTACTTATTCCCAAGCTTGTCGTCCAGCTGCTTTCCAATACTCTTGTCAGAATATTCAGAGGCAAACATGCACCATCTCGGGTGATCCTCACTACTACACCTTTGACAATCAGATATTTCACTTTCAAGGAACCTGCACGTATGTTCTGTCTGAGGTTAGTAATGCTGCTATGGGTTTCCATTTATTTAGAGAAGAGATATATTAAAACATTGGGAATCTTTTACTTATTCAGAATTTGTGTCATTGTTTAGGCATGTGGAAATGGTTTGCCGTACTATCGCATTGAGGGGAAAAACGAGCATCGGGGTAGTACACATGTGTCATGGACTCGGATGGTCAGAGTTTTTGTCTATAATGAAGAAATTGAATTGCTCAAAGATCACTATTATGAGGCAAAGGTAATAATCACTGTATTGCTGTAATGTTGATTTGAGTTCAGCCATCCACCCATCTTCCTAATGTCTTTTTTCAACATTGTCAAGGTTAATGGGACCTTTCTAGCAACACCATTCACCCTCCACGATGGATCCATCCAAGTCTATCAGTCAGGGTTTTCCTTGGCCATCAGCACAGATTTTGGTCTCCTAGTGACCTATGATGCATATAGCTATGTCACCATCTCTGTACCTTATGACTACCAGAATGCCACATGTGGTCTGTGTGGGAACTATAACCTACATCCTGAAGATGACTTCCGTTCAGTCTCTGGGGAGATCTTGAGCACAGATGTTGACTTTGCCAACTCTTGGAAGGTAGAGGGGGACACAGATCCTGAATGCCATGATGTCAGGTGCACAGGTCTCGATTGTGCAGTTTGTACCAACAGTGAAATGAGCCTTTACAGTGACACAAATCACTGTGGAATCCTGGGAGATGTTTCAGGGCCTTTTGCATCTTGCCATTCTGTGTTTTCACCCCAGACCTACATAGAGAACTGTGTCTATGATCTTTGCTTAGGAGGAGGGTACCAGCCAATTCTCTGCCAGGCTCTCAATGTGTATTCTGCCCAATGCCAACAGCAAGGTGTACAACTAGGACAGTGGAGACAACCAGGCTTTTGTGGTAAGTGCCATGTTTATTGGAAGTAAATTTGGCATTCAGCTTAATGTAATTTAAATATTTGTGCAAGGTGAAAGATCCAGAGTTTGATGCATATTCTTATTTCTGCTTTCCATTTCCAGAAATCTTATGCCCTGAGCACAGTCATTTTGAGTCTCATGGAACAAGCTGCCCTGCAACTTGCAGCAACCCATCTGCCCCAATAAACTGTCCCTTGCCTAATCTGGAGAGCTGTATTTGTGATGATGGGTACATCCTCAGTGCTGGACAATGTGTGCCTGAAGAAAACTGTGGCTGCACATTTGAGGGCTTCTATTACTCTGAGGGACAGTCAGTAGTGTTGGACGAGGACTGTGGGAGACAATGTGTTTGCAGTAGCAGGTCAATGTTCTGCTATCAGCACCAATGTGGTCCAGCAGAGGTGTGTGGACTCCATAATGGTGTGAGGGGCTGCAGACCCATCAGTTATGCTACTTGTTCGGTTGAAGGCCTGGGTTCATACCACACCTTTGATGGACAAACTTTCAGATACCCAGGAGCTTGTGGACTGACCCTTGCAAGAGTGATGGGGCCATCCCAACTGCCATACTTTGTTTTGACAGTGGAGAAAGTACCCAGAGGCCTTCAAGACTTTTCCAGGTTCCTAAATTTTGAGGCAGGAGGCACTCATGTTTCCATTCAATTGGGAGAAGGAAGCAATGTACAGGTTAGCAAAAAAAAAAAATCTTAGCTTGTCATTTATTTGGAGCAGTTTAACTATATTATTTCAAATTCATACGTTAGATCAATTAACTTTAATATTCTCATCAGGTGGATGGACAGATGGTTGGCCTTCCCATCAGTGTTGGTTCCAGTCAGATCCACATCTATCACAGTAGTGTAAGGGGTTTTGTTTTGGAGACAAACTTTGGAGTGACAGTTAGAGCTGACTGGCCGCACATTGTCCGAATCACGGCTCCAACCACTTACAATGGTACACTTGGAGGTCTGTGTGGGAACTTGAATGGAAACACCGATGATGAATTCTACAGCCCGGATGGGGTCCTGCTGGATGACTCCCAGCTATTTGCAGATAGTTGGCGTGATGGATCCCTGTCAGCCCACTGTGAGGACCCAGCTGACATTTGGGAACCAGGACTTTATCAGAACAGGAGCGAGTTCAGTGAGCTCTGCAGCATCATGACAATGAACAATGGACCGTTTGCTGAATGCAGCAGAACACTAGACCCTTGGCAGCGGATTGAAGACTGCATTCAGATGCTGGAGCAGACGGAGGGTGCCAGGGAGGCTCTATGTGAAGCCCTGCGAGGGTACACACTACACTGCCAACAGAATGGCATTGCAGTTGGAGAGTGGAGGAGTATCACCCACTGTGGTTAGTATCTTGTGAGGTGATAAGATTTTCAGAATTAAAACTATATACAGTATCTTCTTCAAAATTCTGATCATCCATTGCCTTTCCGTCCCGTTTTGTCTTCATTATCTCAGATCCCAACTGTCCAGCTAATACCCATTTTGAACTGTGTGGCACATCCTGTCCTGCGTCTTGCCCTAGCCTCTCGTTTCCCTTCCAGTGCGCTCTGCCATGCCAGGGGGGATGCCAGTGCGATGATGGACTAGTGCTGGATGGAGATCGCTGTGTTCCCCCCACTGGTTGTGGCTGCCACTATGATGGTCGCTATCGGCAGCCTGGAGAGCAGTTCTGGCATGGTGAAGAGTGCCAGTTCCAGTGTGTCTGTGATGGAATCACTGGTAATGTCCGTTGTACACCATCATCTTGCAGTGACCAAGAAATCTGCAGTGTGGTGGAGGGGGAGTATGGCTGCCATCCTCATCCACACGGTAGCTGTTATGCTTCTGGAGATCCACATTATATCTCCTTTGATAGAACCTACTTTGACTTTCAAGGCACATGCCGATATGTGCTAGCCACAGTGTGCAATGATACCCGTGGACTACCACACTTCCAAGTTGATGCAAGAAATGAAGCATGGAATGGATGGCCTGTGTCAATAACTGTTGAAGTTTTTGTCAATGTCTCTGGGCATCTTGTGCAAATGTCACAGGACTTGAACAGTTATTCTGCTGTTAAGGTAAGCTCTGCTGTTAAGATAAGCATGTCCCACAAACTGTAATCAATGTAATTATTGATAAGAATGGTTGTATAAACAAGCTCAACTTTTTCTTCAATTAGGTTGATGAAGAGATCAGAAACCTCCCTGTCTATCTTGACTCTGGTCGAGTGTTTGTCTACTCCACAGGACAGTTTGTCTATGTTTCAACTGACTTTGGTTTTAGTGTCAGTTATGGTGGTTCCTGGGAGGTAAACATTGTTGTGCCAGCAGACTACAGTGGAGTTATGTGTGGCATCTGTGGCAACTTTAATGGCCATCCGGATGATGACTTCCTCACTCCTTCAGGTGCTTTGGCATCTTCAGTGGACCAGTTTGGGGAAGAATGGATGGTTGAAAATGACATGTCATGCAATCATGGCTGTTTAGACGATTGTCCTTTGTGCCAAGATGAGAGCACAACTCAAGCCTTGTGTGAGATCATCAGAGACAATCAGGGTCCCTTTAGCTTCTGCCATAGTTCTGTAGATCCACAAGCCTACTTTGATAACTGTGTGTTTGATGTGTGCATCTCTGGGAACCACAACGATGTCTTGTGTCGCTCTGTCCAATCTTATGTGAGTGCTTGTCAATCTGTCAATGCCATGGTCTACCCCTGGAGAGAACTTGCATTGTGTGGTAAGTGACTGAAGATATTTTAAAAGACCAGTGCAATTAAACTAAACGTTTATCTTTTTCCCTTATTCAAGGAGTTTTCATTTAATCTCAAATATTTAATAGTGTACATATCATGAATAACATTTATGTTTCATGTACATACTTTTTTTGTTACATTGCCAGTCATGGACTGCTCTTCAAACATCCCAAACAGTCATTATGAGGTGTGTGGAACAGACTGTGGCCACACATGCGCCAGCAGCATCGATGCTAGTTGTGAACACACATGCTCAGAAGGTTGTTTCTGTGATGAGGGATTTGTGAGAAGTGGAGGACTCTGTGTACCAGTGGAACAATGTGGCTGCTTGTATGATGGATTCTACTATCATGTGAGGATTAAAACATCATGTTTTTATGTTAAGACTAATAATATAGGGCAGTGGATAAGGGGAAGCACAGCCGTAGCATATTATGGCAACATACATCATCTCAAGCACTTATCAAAAAACTGTGGTGTTACCATTGTACAAAGATGGTATCATCATAATACTTGCGTTTACATTCACTCCTAAAAACGACATGGTGATACCATGATTTTTGTAAGTAAAATACTCACTGGTGTTATGTTATGGAAATGTAAAGTTTGTTGTCATTGTTGATTTTGAAGATTGGGGAACAGTTCTTGGATTCAACATGCTCCCAACGCTGTGAGTGTTTTGCTCCAAATGATCTACGCTGCACTGCATCTTTCTGCCCAGCGGCCATGGAGTGTGCGGTCAGAAATGGACGCCGTGACTGCTTCAGTCCAATGTCCACATGCACGGTCTGGGGCGACCCCCACTACATCACCTTTGATGGGGCTGTGGCCCACTTTCAGGTATGAACTGGTAAACTGCTGTTTTTTTGCAGACAACTACCTTAACTGTTGTTTTGTGTCCCGGTAGAGGACAAATGACTTAACAGTCAAGTTTATTCAAAGAATGGTTATTGGTTTTAGAATATCTAAATAGAGTTGGGTTTCAAATGTATTTCATAAATTGAAGAATATTCATATATTTATGAATGTATACAATGTCTTGCAAGATATTTATGTAAGGAATGTGAAAGAAAAAATGAAGACTATGGCCTGGTTTCACAGACAAGGCTTGGATTAAGCCAGAATTAGGCTTTAGTTTAATTAGGACATTTAAAAAGCTTTTATAAACATGCCTTAGAAAAAACTGGTGTGCATCGTGAGACAAACAATGGCACTGACATATTTTATGATATGTCAGTGCAAGTTGCTTTCAGTTAAAACAGCTCAAACATGCATTTTAATCTGGGACTAGGCTTAGCCTTGTCTGTAAAACCAGTAGTAAGTATATTGTATTAATCCTACCAGGGAACATGTTCCTATGAGATTGCCCAGACCTGCGGTAATGTTACGGACAGTGATCTGCAGTTCCGTGTAGTGGCCACCAACAGGCACCGGGGGAACATGCTGGTGTCATTTGTGTCTGCAGTGGATGTTTGGTTGTCGCAGCATGAACAACATATGCACATCAGTATTGGGCAGAACAGGAGAGTTAGAGTAAGTTACACTTTAATTGATGCCAATATAAATACATATTTCACTTTTTCTCTTTTCTTATGTTGACATTTTCTGATTCTCCCCCAGGTTGATGGAAATGCTATTGACACACCGGCTTATCAAATCAATGATCTTGTAGAGGTACATGAGGAGCAGGGATTTGTAATTCTAAATGCATTCAATGAATTTATTGTCCATTTTGATGGACATAGCAGCCTTCTAGTCAGAGTGAGTGAAAGATTCTATGGATCTCTATGTGGAATGTGTGGAAATTTCAATGGTAATCCTGCGGATGACAAAGTGCTGCCCAGTGGAGAACTCGCTTCTGATGACATTTCCTTTGGCCACAGCTGGAAATCAGACACCAGCATTCCAGGGTAAGAACCGCAAGACTTTAGGACAGTCATTTTTACCTGGTGGGTTGTGATCCACCTTTTGGGTTTTGATGGATGGAGAAAAAGGTTCATGTGATTTGTGAGTTCTTTCAGCTCAAACAGTAGGGCAAGGCACTATCAATGCATGGCCATGGTTTGATTCCCAGGAAATACATGAACTGATAAAATGTATGTCTTGAAAGCAATATGAATCATTTGCCATTAAAGCCCCTATCGAATGCAATCAGAGTGAAATGGAGTGAATTATTTGCTGCTGACAGACTGAAACATTGCATAAATTTAACATATTTGTATTTACAAATTGCCATTGCATTTGTTTATCATTGACCGGATCATTCCCTGGCTGAGCCAAAAGGCCTTTATGTACTGTATATGGTTTGCATGCTCTCCTTGTGTCAGGATGGGTTTTACTCAAATTCAAAGACATGGAGGTTACGTGAATTAGATGCACTAATTTGCCAATGGAGTAAGTGTGAGTGTCCCAGCCTCTAAGGTTGCCCACGCTATTGCACTCTCGGTGCTGCTCAGGGTTACATCAGTAAAATGTGGCGAATAACTCAGTGGATGACTCTGCTCTGCCAACCCCGATTGGGAGAAACCAAAAATAGAGAGAGAGAGAGATTGGCTTCCAAATGTTGATTTCATTCAAATGTTTAATTTTCTGTTTTACTTTTAGTATTGTGTTGAGTGCTCAGTGTCCAAATTAAAAACTCTCTCTGTTGAAATAGTATAAACATATAATTGACCTGAAGTGTCCTTGTATTCTTCAGCTGCGGTGCCAGAGATCAGACTGGTAATGTTGATGAGTGTCCATCCAGGCAGAGGTATTCTGATCTCTGTAGTATTATCACCAACACCTCTGGCCCCTTCCAGAACTGCCATCTTCATGTTGACCCGGCACCTTACTTCTACTCCTGTGTGTATGATCTGTGTCTCTACACACGTACAAATGGCATGCTATGTTCAGCTGTTGAGGCCTATGAGACAGCTTGTGCCATCTTGGAGATACAGATCCCAGAATGGCGCTCGGGTCTGCGGTGCGGTAAGTCAAAAGCACATTTCAGCACAGATTATTTTGTGATTTTGTCACCAGTGTTACTAAAAATGTAGGTAGCTGAACTAACCTGAAAGCTAACCTTTAGAGAAAGTAGCAGGGTGGGGTTGTCGGGTACATAGGATTCAAGTTTTGTTTTTTTGTCCTCTGTGTTACTGTTACTGTTTTTAGAGTGAGAAACTGATTCCAAATGATTCAGAGGATGAATGAGCTGTCTGAACGATTCACAATCATGAACTGATTTTGATCTAACGTTTAACTGATTTTCTAAATTAATAGAAAAGAATGACAATTTAAAAACATGATTAATTCACAAATCAGTCATAGCTAGCTCTTAATAGACTATGATTTTAATAGTTATGATAAAAAAAAAAAAAATCAGCACTACCATTAAGCAATTTTTTAGCAATCCTGCTGCCCAACACTGCGTGTCACATTGAGCCAGCCGTACCGATATTGGACTTGACTGCAAATCATGTGAAAAGGTAATTGTTGCTACACATTTCACATGTGGAGAACTTGGAGGGCATTTATTTGGAAATCCCAAACATATCACCACCCCCCACCCCCCGTCCGGCAATTTATTTCTTATGGTCAGGTGGATGGAAAGTGAACTATCTATGGATCTCAAGGGGGAATGATTACAAATTAGATGACCCGTTTAATTCACTCGAAAAAAATATATTTTATTACCTTGAAGACTGCAGACCAATTGATTCAGGGGACCAGAATGTTAACCTCTGTCCCTGTTAAAATGACTCAGTGTCTTTGTGCTGTGATCTTTTCCTCTTAGATGTGAGAGATCGCTGTTCTGAGCTCAGCTGCTCTGAGGATGAATGGTGTGGGAAGAAAAATGGTGTTTATGGCTGTTTATGTAACGAAGACCATCACAGACCACAACCTAACTCTTTTGGTTGGTATCATTTAACTAAAAAAAATTTAAATATATATTTTTCGTCATTAGTTTCGACATTACCTTAATGACAATATTTTGTCTTTTAATCCCCTCTCAGATGTCTCAGAAACCTGTGAAAGCAGCTCTGGCTCTATATCTGTGTCTCGCTGTCAGCTCTTTGAGGCTGGTTTTCCAGCTGATGTCTTACACCTCAATGATCCCAGCTGCAAAGGAACGGTCCGGAATGGCAGAGTGGAATTCTTCTTTGATAATGATGAATACATCTGTGGTACTAATCTTCTGGTAGGTTTAACTATGCATAATCTATTCAATACACCATCTAAGGGGAAGGTGTAGTGTGGGCTTTAGGGACAGGGGGAATCTCCCACCCTTTACGAAAATCTTTTTTTTATTGTGGTAAAAGTATAGTAACCATGTTTCTTTTGGCAGATTGATTCCCAATTGTATAACCACAGATTCCATGGCTAAACTATGGTTAGTGTAGCAAAACCATGGTTCCCCTTCAGGGACTACCGCTGCGTGTAATCGCAGTGGGAACGCCCTCAGCGTGACGCGTCTAAAGCATGAATGAAATCAGTCTCAATGGAGAGAATGAGCGTACGGCGAGTGACGTCATCGACCAGGAAGCTATAAATATCCCCTGAGCACACAATACGCCAGCTTTTCGTACTTCAGCAGCTCTGTGTGTGTGTCTGAATCTGTCGATTGTGTTTGTCTGCTTTGTCAGGTGTTTATCACTATATATATTATATAAAAAAACAATATGAGCGAGCAGTATAAGAAGTGTGTTCCCCCCTGTACTCGATACATCACGGGTGGGGATTCACACAAGCTATGTGTGGCTTGTTTGGGAGTTCAGCATGCCCAGTCGGCTCTGCGCTCGCGGCGATCGCTCTTCGAGGAGAGTGGTTTGCTGCGAGCTCCCCAAGGCTCGGGTCCCGCTTCTGTTGAGGCAGAGCGGCGGCGCTTGTCTTGGGGTTCGCAGATGGATCTCACCGGCGACGTTGAGACGGGCCCCACCCTATCTCAGCTTTCTCCGGCGGGATCCAGTGCCTCTCACCCGGCTTTGGAAGCACGCGCTGCGGCGGTTACTTCTGCCCGGGTGGAGGCACATGATGATGTTGAATTGAGATTATCCAGTTCTGAGGATCTGGATGTCGAAAGTTTTGCATCTGAGGAAACTAGTGTGACACATTATACTGCAAATGAAGAAGGTTTGATGGATGTGTTATCTCGGGCTGTTGAAAAGCTCAGTATCGAGTGGCCAGCTGATAGACAGGATTCTAGAATTAAAAGCAAACTAGATGATAGATTTCTGTCCGCATGACCTCAACCTTCTCGCCGGTGCTTACCGTTCTTCCCAGACCTTCATGCTGAGGTTTCAAAGACCTGGGTTAGACCAGTTTCTAGCAGAATTTACACGAATCAGTCAAATGCTTATGGTAACATTTTTGGTGCTAAATCTGCTGGTTATGTGACGATGCCGAAGGCAGAGGAGACGCTCGCGAGCTATCTCTCTCCTGCTTCTTCGGTTTCACTTAAAGCACCGGCTCTTCCATCTAGACCACTAAAGAATACTTCTCTGCTGGTGGGGAAGGCTTACTCGGCGGCTGGGCAGGCGGCTGCGTGTTTGCATACGATGGCTATTATGCAGGCTTATCAGGCCGACCTGCTCAAAGATGTGTGTGAGGGGGGTGAAATTTCTGGTGATATGATTAGCGAACTCAGGCAGACTGCTGATCTCACTCTGCGTGCCACCAGAGAGTCCGCGAAATCTATTGGTCGGTCTATGGCAGCCATGGTGGCCACAGAAAGGCACTTATGGTTGAGTCAGACCTCTATGAAGGAAAAAGATAAGTCTCTCCTTTTAAATGCTCCTGTTTCGCCTGCGGGCCTCTTCGGTGACGCTCTTCACTCGGTCACGGAGAGGTTCCAGGAAGAGAAAAAACAGGCGGCTGCTTTTCTTAAATTTATCCCTCTGAAGGTGCGTGTCACTGGGGCTGCTGAGCGAGGGCAGTCCCAGCCGTCGAGTTCTTCTTCCAAAAGAGCACAGCAGAAGCGGAGTGTCGCGTCCCGTGCCCCCCTGCAGAGAAACTGGAGGGACGAGGCAGGGCGTTCTCCGGCGCGGCCTTCTCGGGGCAGGACTGATCTGAGGACAGTCATTGTCGCCAGGAAGGCCGCGTCGAAAAAGTCCTGACGGGCTGAACGTCAGGACTCTGAGGGTGGTCCCCATCGGGAAAAACTTGAGTTCACCGCACAAGAACACGGTGCCCTGTCTTTCTCGATGCCCTCAGGGGTCTGTTCTACTAACCCTGCCTATACAGGGCGTAGAGAGACTCGGCGAGCGATTTCCCGAGGGACGCTCGCCCCCTCCGAGGAGGGTTGTGGAGTGCTCAGACCAGCTGTTTCCTGCCAGTATGTTACAGGGCGCTGTGTCTGTCACTCGGGATGTTCATCCAGAGGCCAGCCTCGAGAGGCTGGTTCCCTTAGTAGAGTTCCTGGCGGAATGGGAAATGCTTCCCAATGTTTCTCAGTGGGTCCTGAATATTATAAAGAACGGGTACGCTATTCAGTTCAGAACGCGTCCACCTCGGTTCAGAGGGGTTCTGCCCACTGTGGTGGGCCCCGAGCAGGCTCTGGTATTAGAACAGGAGGTAAAAACTCTGCTGCAAAAAGGGGCTATAGAACGGGTTCCCCCACCCAGCAGGGAGTTAGGATACTACAGCCGGTACTTCATCGTTCCGAAAAAAGATGGAGGGCTGCGTCCCATTCTAGATCTGCGTGTCTTAAATCGCACTGTAGGGAAGCTCAAATTCAAGATGCTCACTCTCAAGCTGATCGTGTCACAAATCAGATCCGAGGACTGGTTTGTCACGATAGATCTAAAGGACGCTTACTTCCATGTATCTATCCTCCCTCAACACAGGAAGTTCCTGAGGTTCGCTTTCGGGGGCGAAGCGTACCAATACCGGGTTCTTCCGTTTGGCCTAGCACTGTCACCCCGCACGTTCA